AAGAAGCTGTGGTGCATATATACAATGGAATATTACCCAGCCATAAGAAGAGATGAAATACTGCCATTTGCGCCAACATGGCTGGACCTCGAAATAATCATGCTAAGCGAAATAATCCAGAAAGAAAGTTGAAAATCACGTGATATCACTTATATGTGGGAAATAAACCTAAAAGCAACAAACAGGACAAACAAACAGACTCATGGACATGGACCATGGACTAGTGGTTACCAGAGGAGAGGAGGGATGGGGGAGGAGGAAAAATAAAAAAATAAAATGTTAAAAAAATAAATTATAAGCTTGAGTCTATAGCCTTGCCACCCTGTACATGCCCGATGTCATCTGATCTCGGAAGCTAAGCAGGGTCGAGCCTGGTTAGTACTTGGATGGGAGATCACCTAGGAATACCAGGTGCTGTAACTGTAAAAATAAATAAAAATCAAAAAATTCTTTTAGGCAAGGATAAGATAAAAAAATTAAAAAATAAAGAGGTTATTATGCTGAGTGAAATAAGTCAGAGAAAGATAAATACCATATGATTTCATATGATGCGGAATTTAAGGAACAAAAAGAACTAACTAATCAGAAACAGACTCACAAATATAGTGGACGATTTGCTGACGGACAGACGGGAGGGGAGTTGGGGGCCTGGGAGAATGGGGTGAAGGGTTAAAGAAGTACAAATTAGTAGTTGTAGTTGGGTATGAGGATGGAGAACACAGCACAGGGAATGCAGGTAGCATTAATATGTTGGCTAGGTAGAGGGCCTGGGGAGGGAGGGAGCAATTGGGGGGATTATTTTATAAACTATATAGATGTCTAATCAATGTATTGTATACTTGAAACTAATTTAAATAAATACATTAAAAATAAATCTTTAAGATCTTGGTAAAAAATTTAAAAAAAGAAATTACTGGAAAAATGAAGAAGCAGGAAATTTTATCCCTTTTTTCCCCACTCTGTAAATGAACAGAAAGAGGGAGATGATAACTGTTAAGAGTATAACCTGAATGTTGAGTTTTTCTTGGAAGCTAAATGGAAGCCATTCTTTTAACTCCACGTCTTTAAGAGATCTAAATCATCTATTTATATTTTGTCAGAAATTTTATTAATTTAACTAAGATAGAGATATGTACATACTTTTATTAAGAATTTGTTTTTAAATGGAAACAAAGTACGTAAACTATATGTTTGACTTAATTTAGATAGCTTTTCTCAGTACTGGTTGGAAAAGAAAGATCATATGGTAGTGAAAATTTATGAATGTGGTTTTCCTCTGTAGAAGTGGAGGTCTTGGGACAGGCATTAGAACACTTTGCAGAGGCATGGCGACGTAGTTATAGACAGACCTGGATTCAAATTTGTTTTCAACACTCATAAGCTACAAACCTTGGACAAGTTACTTAGGTACCCTGAGCTTCACTTTGTCATTGAAAAAATGAGACCAAAAGTAGTTATCTTCTAAGATTGTGGGAGCTAAATTATTATATGTAAAGTAGTTGGCCCAGTTTTTGGTACATGGCTAATGCTCAATAAATGATGAATCACATTATTATTTACTATTCTGAGGAATGAATAAAGGTTGGGTGCTACTATAGTTAAGTTGTAAGGGAGGTTGAAGGAAAACACGTCCTATGGCCTCTATTTTCTTTATCTGTAGAGATGGAGCTTGGAGTTGCTAGGGCAGAGGCCTAGAGGAAAGAAAAATGTTAAATGCTTATAGCTGCTGTAGAAATATAAAAAGGAAAAGCCTAGAGACAAAAACGATTTTTCAAATAACCATGGGATCCCAGCTGAAGTTGGAGCCATATATTTGCAGTAAAGCCAAGTAGTATACCTGTGTGGATTTTTCCTGCAATACTGGAGAACCCAGGGGTGAAATAATAAAAGAGGATGAAAAAACTAACTTTGGCTGGCAGTCAGACCAATGCATCAATGTACTAGATCATTTTGAATCTTTTTATTGTTTGCACAAATTCTCTTACTTATGTATACATGCAAACATGTTTATTTTTTTTCATAGGTGAATTTTCAGTGTATGATTTTTTTTTATTGTTTAGCATCCATAGCAGTATTTTTACCTCATCTGACTCCTGAGCTAATAGGACAGGAGTGTGATTACAAGCAAATAAAGATTGAAGTGGTACTTTAGCATCAACTTTAGAATTGTCAGCTTATATCTAAAAAATAATTATAATTTTTACAGTTGCGATCAGATTAAGATGTATAGAAGATGAAACTGATTAGACATAAAAACTTCTTAGATTTTGATGTTTTTAAAAGACTAACTCACCTTTTGTGCCAGACAGGTCAAAACTTCTGTTATTATTTGGATATCATAAAAATAAATTGTTTTCTGCTAATTGGAAGATTAGTTTTCCCAGGGAAAAAAAAAATTGCCAGTAGAAGATTGAAAAGTTGGCATTTTTCTAGCACTCTAGTGATATAATACATTCTACGTTGAGAAGGGTGTCATTGGTTTCATGAGGAGAGGGGAATAAATATTTTGAAGATATCATTAAGGATTAGATTTTTAAAAACAACTTTACTGAGATATAATTCACATACTATTCAGTTTACCCATTTAAAGTGTAGAATTCAATGCCTTTTAGTATGTTCACAGCTGTGCAGCCATCACCGTCATCAAATTTAGAACATTTCATCACCCAGAAAAGACATTGCACCCTTTAGCTCTCACGCTTCAACCTCCCAGCTCCTCCCAGCTCTAGACAATGGTTAATCTATTTTTTGTCTTCATAGATTTGCCTATGCTAGATATTTCATATATAAAAATGGCAGAGGTAGTTTGATAGTTAATGATACAAAGTTTTATCATTTGTTGTCCTTTTCTGTACTAATATTCTTTAATCTTGCTTATTTCTTATGTAGTAGATTTACTCACTATACCTTAAGCAAACTAAGGTTTTCTTCTTTAATTGCTGAGTCAAAACTGGGCATGTAGCATGCCCTCAATAAATATATAATTAAGTTA